TAACGTCAATCTCAATCTCCAACACAACAGCGGCAGTATCTATGGAGTTCACTCCGGCGAAAATAGTGGCTACATTTTTATCTTTGGTGGTCGATAGGAAAGTTGTGGTCGACATGAAGCCGCCAATTTTATGTTTTAGATTTTCAAAATCCTCGAAAGGCATGAAGAAACCTCGGTACAGAGTTAGTCTCTGGGTGTTTTGATGATCAGTAAGCCATTGTGCATGTTGCTCTTTGATATGCTCGTGAAGATCTCGGAGGAAGAATCGCATTTTAAAGAGCACATCCACATCTTGCACTCTGAGGGCTTTGTTGAGCATTTTGTAGAGGAAGCAGTTTTTAGTGTACCATCCAATTGCTTTTTCTGGTGTGTACGTAGCTTCAAATTCATTAATATGACGTAACTCACTTGCATTATCGTTATATTGTTGTCGACAGAAGGAAACCATTTCTTCTGTGTCTGTCCTTATTCTGGGAAAGTCAAGCAGAAGTTCTTTCAAAATTTGTGCGTACATGAAAGAAGCTTCCTGTCGATGTATTTGTTCTGCCTCTTGATTAGTATTAGAGCTGCTCATTAGCTTAATTCCAGGTAAATAATTTGATGGCGAAGATATATCTTTTCTCAGTTGTTCACAGATCTGTTTGATGTCGGTATAGACACCTTTTACTTTGGCTGTTGCTTCAGTCCACTTATCACGATTAGAGTTGTCTGAGCAGAAGACGTAGATTAATGCGATCTGTGGCACAGCATGAATAAGGGAAATGATTGTTTCTTTGCACGAATCAGAGATAATAAGAAACACTTTTTCGTCTTTAATATCTGTAATGTAGTCGACACACTCATCGGGATTATCAAAAGTTTCGAGACGATTAACAATCTTTCGAAATTTAACTGAAGCACTTTGGTTCTCTTCTGCTATAGTGATATTTGCGTCGAGCCAAACAACAGCAAAGTCTTCGTAATTTTGATGCTTTCGCCCAAGAAACGGTCCAGTGACATTCGTAGTGGTAACTTCCGGCAAAGACTGCGCTGAAAGAGAGAAATGAACATTCAGTGTTAAAATGTAGATATTTTTCATTTTGAGAGAGGAACCGTCTTTGCCTTTTATCATTTTCAGATTACATGTGAAGTTTTTACGGTTCCTTCCCTCTTTAAGGTGTCTGAAACATGGCTCATTGACAAATTCTGAAACTTTCAAGGCAGATAGATATTGTAGTACATCAAAAGATGTGCTAGACTCGAGCTCGCATAATGCATCCTTCTATGAAATATCGGGGGGTCACAAGCGCGTAGAATGACCTGGATTTTTTCCCTTTTTCTACGCGACACTTCGAGCCAAATGAGCCGAAAATTTTTTGCGGCAACCTGAGGCAAATCCAAGCGTATGTCTTTTTTGAAAATATTGTATCATTCGCTGAGGACAGCCAAAATACTTGAAACGCTGTCAAAAACACGTTTTTTTGCTAGGGCAAATTTTGTAAAATTTATCAAAAATGAGCAAAATAATATTTTCAAAAAATCATGCGGTCTGATTTCACCTAAATTGCCACAAAAAATATTTTCAGCCCAATTGGTCGAAGTGTCGCGTAGAAAAAGGGGAAAAACTTCCATATTTCTCTTCAAAAGTTGATTTTGAGAAAAATGCAAAACACAATGTAATTCAAGAGGAAAGTGCTGGTTGCATTCATGGCAGCCACTATATGGTCGCTTGGCTGCCAGTGATTGTCATCGATTGCCGTTAACTGCTGTTGATTCTCATCGATTGCTGCTTAATAAGCATGGCAATCAACGGCAATCAATAGCAATCACGTGCTGCTATATTGTCACTTAATTTCCATTGATTGCCACTTGATTAGCAGTGGCAATTCAAGGCAATCAAAACAACCAAGAAATTAGTTTTTTCTCCTTGATGAATTTTCAATTTTCTCCCAAAATACTCATGGTTTGCCTCTTGACATCAACACTTTATATAGGTTATCGACCATAGCGCATCCGATGAAGATGTTTTCAAAGCCAGATAGTGCTTTTAAAAATTGACCCCTAATGAGAAAAACTACACATTTTGACAGACACAGTTTTCTATTTTCGCTTATATTTGTCTTCTAGCTAAATAGAAAGGCATGCGGGTGTTAGAGAGGGACTGTAAGTGATGTCGCGGATAAGCTTGACTCATTCCAACTAAAAAGCCGGAAGACAAAGAGAGGGCAGAAAAGATCGAAAAGCGTGTTTTCGACATGAAGGTCTCGAAATATCCGATCTTCAAAACTCAGACGAGGTGAAAAATTTTGGTTTTAGTGTAGATTGGTGCAGAAGACTTAGGAGTACTTATAGTAAAAAGAAATCTAAATTAAATAAAAACAACTTGTTTCACCTTGGAAGGAGAAGCTGTCCTTAGCAAAAACCTGTGCATTATCAAGTTCTTACCAGTCACATTTTGAATTAACTTGCCGTGGTTAGCTTCATTTGGCTTTTCCGTAGAGTTTTGGATGGAGATTGTAGTCGCTACCTCGCCCTGTTTTTCTTCGACAATTGTTGATTCTACTCTGCTCATTTTTTCAGCTATGTTTTGGAATGAAAACGTGAGTTAGCTCTCAGGTGTTATACTAAAAATGCAGGCAACAGAACTCACCAGTGAACAGAGTATTGTTTTTTCTTGCTGTTCTGTGTAAGCGATCACTCAACCGTGCATATTATATGGTCACGATGTTTTTCTTCCAAGAAAATATTTTTTCATTATAGGCAAACATTGAATGCCTTCTCTCGCTACTTACTGTCGTAATTGAGTCACTGTTAATGGGTCTCTTCCTTCAATTTCTTGTATACGTGGGAATACATGCGTATGTCTCACACGATGTTTAGTCGTAAGAAAAAAATAACTAAGAGAAGAACAACCACTCCAATGATAACATAAACATATACATAGGAATGAAAGGAGGCAGAGAAAAACAAAACACAGGATGTGCGGTGTGGGTGTGGGGTGTGGATGTGGGTCTGGGGTGTGGGTGTGTGGGTGTGGGGTGTGGGTGGGGTGTGGGTGTGAGTGTGGGTGTGGGGTGGGTGTGGGTGTGGGTGTGGGTGTGGGTGGGTGTGGGGTATCGGTGTGGGTGTGAGTGTGCGTGTTCTAAAAGAGATACCGACACCCACACCCATACCCACCCACCCACATCCATAGCCACAGCCACACCCACACTCCTACCCATATCCACCCACACCCACACCCACACCCCACACCCACACACACCCACACCCACACCAACACCC